GGGCCAATGGGGTGTCAATTTTGTTTATTTTTTCAAAAAACCAGCTCTTCGTTTGGCTGATTTTTTGTAATGTTTTTCTTGATTCAATCCTGTTGATTTCTTCTCTGATTTTAATTATTTCTCTTCTCCTACTAGATTTGGGTCTGATTTGCTGTAGGTTTTCTAGATCCTTGAGGTGAATTGAAAGCTCATCTATTTGGTGTCTTTCCAATTTCTTGATGTAGGCACCTATTGATATAAACTTTCCTCTTAACACTGCTTTTGCTGTGTCCCATAAGTTTTGGTATGTTGTGCTGTTATCCTCATTTACTTCCAGAAAGTTTTTGATTTCTCTTTTGATTTCTTCTATGACCCATTGTTCATTCAGGAGCATGTTGTTCAATCTCCATGTGTTTGCGTATGCTCTAGGGATTCCTGAGTTGCTAATTTCCACCTTCATTCCTTTATGGTCTGAGAAGCTGCATGGTATGATTCTAATTCTTTTGAATTTGCTGAGACTTGCTTTATGGCCTAGTATGTGGTCAATCCTAGAGAAGCTTCCATGTACTGCTGAGAAGAATGTAAAATCTTTAGCTGTAGGATTGAAAGTTCTGTATATATCTGTTAGATCCATTTGGGCTATAGTGTCATTTAAATCTACTGTATCCTTGTTGATCTTCTGACCGGATGATCTGTCTATTTCTGAGAGTGGAGTATTGAAGTCCCCCAGTACTACTGTATTGGGGTCTAAGTCTCTCTTTAAGTCCGTTAATAAATCTTTTAGATAAACTGGTGCCCTGTAGTTAGGTGCATATACATTGATAATTGTTATATCTTCCTGTTGAATTGATCCCTTAATCATTATATAGTGTCCCTCTTTGTCTCTCTTAACAGTTTTTGTGGTAAAGTTTATGGTGTCTGATATTAAGATGGCTACACCCGCTCTTTTTTCATTTCTGTTGGCATGGTATATCTTTTTCCAGCCTTTCACTTTCAGTCTGTATGGATCTTTGTTGGAAAGATGTGTTTCTTGTAAGCAGCAAATAGATGGGTTTTGTTCCTTAACCCAATCAGCGAATCGGTGTCTTTTAACTGGACAGTTCAGGCCATTCACGTTCAAAGTGACTAATGATAAGTGGTAACTTTGCCCTGCCATTTGCCAAAGATAAGTTCTAATATATGCTTTGAATTCCCTGTGATCTTTTGCTGTGAGGTTTCCTTCCTTGGTTTCCTTCCTTTACCTTCTTTCATATTGATGACCGTGTTTCTGTGTTTCTGTGTGTAACACATCTTTAAGCATCTTTTGCAGGGCTGGACGAGTGGCAACAAATTCTTTCAATTTCTGTTTGCAATGAAAAGTCTTTATTTCACCTTCATTCACAAATGAGAGCTTTGCAGGATATAATATTCTGGGCTAGCAGTTGTTCTCTCTTAGTACCTGGGCTATATCTCGCCATTCCCTCCTAGCTTTTAGAGTTTCTGATGAGAAGTCAGCTGTGAGTCTGATTGGAGATCCTCTGAGAGTAATCTGACGTTTCTCTCTTGCACATTTTAGGATCTTTTCTTTATGTTTCACTGTGGAGAGTTTAATTACAATGTGTCGTGGTGAGGATCTCTTTTGGCCGTGTTTATTAGGGGTTCTGTGAGCTTCCTGTACTAGGATTTCTCTGTCCTCCAAACCTGGGAAATTTTCTGCTAATATCTCACTAAAAAGGCCTTCTAATCCTTTCTCCCTCTCCATGCCTTCAGGAACTCCTAGAACCCGAATGTTGGGTTTTTTAATAGTATGCTGAAGATTCCCAACAATATGTTTTAGATTTCTAATTTGCTCTTCTTTTCTTTGGTCTGACTGTATCCTTTCCTGTTCTCTGTCTTCTAAGTCCAATATTCTCTCTTCTGCTTCACCCATTCTGTTTGTAAGGCTCTCTATTGTGTTTGCCATTTGATCTATTGAATTCTTCACTTCAGTCACTATCACAGTTTCCTGTTGTACTAGTTGTTTCCTTTCATTTTGACTCCTCCTTGAGATTTCATTTTCACGAGAGAGATTTTCTATCTTGTCCATTAAGGATTTGTGTAGTTCAAGAATTTGTTTTTGAGAACTTCTTAATGTTCTTATCAATTTTTTGAGATCTGCTTCTTGCATTTCTTCTATCTCATCATCTTCATAATCTTGAATTGGGGTGTCTTTTTCATTTGAGGGCGTCATGGTGACTTCCTTGTTTTTATTACCTCGGTTTTTGCATTTGTTATTTGGCATATTGGAGATATTTGGTTTCTTCACTGTGGTGCTTTTTCTTGGTATACTATGACTCTAGATTAAGTGGACTATCTGTTTTTGATGGAGCCTTAGGGCTTGAGATGGGTGTGGCCTGAGAGCTCTGTTTGGTGTGCCAAAGGTGACACTCCCAGGTTAGGCGTGTTAAATCTCTCTCTCTCTCTCTCTTTTTTTTTTGATTCAAAAGGGAAGTTATTCTGCACAGCTGAACGAAGTTGGAGGTAGTTAGCAGGCAAATGATATACCCACAGGAGCCAGAGATTGGAAGCTCTTTCCCAAGATCCCCACAGGGAATCTGTTCGGCCCTCAGAGTGGGCTCAAATTCTCCTTCAGCCTCCCACTGGGTTGCCAAAGTTACGGAATTGTAGCGTCTCTGGAGAGTGCTCACGTGAATTCCGTGAGTTCTCTCCCCCACCGTCTCTTTTTTCACAGTCTCAGTTCAGTAGCACCACAAATTCTGGGTTTGGAAGGAACATTCCTCAACACAATCAAAGCAATCTATGAAAAACCCACGGCCAACATCCTATTGAATGGGGAAAAGTTGGAAGCATTTCCACTGAGATCTGGTACCAGACAGGGATGCCCACTCTCACCACTGCTATTCAATATAGTTCTGGAAGTTCTAGCCAGAGCTATTAGGCAAGAAAAAGAAATTAAAGGGATACAAATTGGGAAGGAAGAAACAATGAGGCAGTGTTAATGGTCCAAGTGATTTGGCTCTTGCCATCCATGTGGGAAACCTTGATTGAGTTCCTTTCTCTTGGCTTTGCTTTTGCCCAGTTCCAGCCATCTTTCTTTTCTCTGTGTCTCTTAGATAAATAAACTAAAATCCTTATCATCTAATTCTAATAACTGGCTCATCTTAAGGTTGATCTCCATGTACTATAGTTTTTTAAAAATGGATAAAATTTTGCTTGATTGTGTATTTAGTGATTTTGAATTTTATCTTGGACATGGTGAATATTGTGAATATGCTATTACACTCTACTGAATAATTTGGATATTTTGCTTGTCTTAGCAAGAAACCAAGTTGATTAGATTAAAAGTATAAAGATTTTTAACTCTGGGGGCAGCTGAAATTTTGGTTCAGTGCTTTTATTTATTTGTTTTTTAAGATTTATTTTCTTTATTTGAAAGACAGAGTTATATATAGAGAGGGCAAGACAGACAGAGAGAGAGAGAGAGAGAGAGAGAGAGAGAGAATCTTCCTTCCTCTAATCAAATGGAAATGGCCAATATTGCTGGCTGAGGCTGGGCCAGGCTGAAGCCAGGAGCCTGAAACTCCAACCAGGTTTCTCACATTGGAGGCAGAGACCCAAGCACTTAGGCTGTCCCCGCAGCTTTCTCAGGCACATTAGCAAGGAGTTGGGTCGAAAGTAGAGCAACCAGACTTGAACCTGCACTCATATGGGCCGCTGGCCTTGAAGTTGCAGCTTAACCTGCTGTGCCGCAATGGAAGACCCTAGGTGCTTTTATTCTTTGTTGTTTGGAGCCTGCCCTTCATACTGATTTAGGGGTTAGCCAGAGATTTGAAGAGGGTCCATGAGCAGAACTTTTGGGTCCTTCCTTTGATTTTTTTGCTTCCTTTTAAATTTACTTGTTGACTGTGGTTTTTCTAAACCTGTCTTATTTATTTATTTATTTTGCCTGAAAGCCTGCAGATTTTCTGTTGGAGCTGTAGCTGTTCCACATGGCACAGACTTGGATTTGCCTTTAAAATGGAAACTGATAAAATGGGCAACTTTTTCATTGCTGTTTCCTATTTCCAAATGTTGACACCCTATGGAATTTGCCCACTCTTAGTCACTCTCCAGTGCCTTTATGTAGTTTTTTTCTTAGTTATCTATAAATTTATCAGTATGTTAGTGGATTTCATGTTAATGCTATCACCAGAACCTGAAAGTAGTACATTTTTTTTAAAGACTTGTTTATTTTTATTTGAAAAGCAGAGTAACAGGGAGGGAGGGAGAGGCACAGGACATAGATCTTACATCTATTGGTTCACTACCCAAATGCCCACAATGGCCACAGATAGCCAGGCCAAAGCCAGGAGCCAGGAATTCCATCTGGGTCTCCCATGTGGGTGGCAGGGAACCTAAAAGCTTGTGCCATCATCTGCTGCCTTCCCAGGTGCACTAACAGGAAGCTGAATTGGAAGCTGAGCAACCAGTACTCAAACTGGCACTCTGATAGGGCTGTAAGAGCCACAAACTGTAGCTTAACCCCCAGCATGCCTGCCCCAACATTAATTCTTAGCACATAATGTGTCCTACCTAATGCTATCAGACATTTTACACAAAGAGTTGGGTTAGAGTAGGTAAGTAGTTTTAGCAGGATAATTAGAAGTGGTACATAAGGTTGAATAGGTTTGAAAGCAGAAATTTTTAGGGATAGAGAAGGCCCTGTCCTTGTGGATTAGATTAGATAAATCTGATTTTTTTGTATTATCTGTAGAGACTTGAATAATTAAGACTTGATTCAGACCTTTAAGACTTTCATTTGCAAATACTTTTTGACTGATCCTTAGTTTCCTGGAAATTTGAAACCTTTTATTTTTCTTATAACTCATTTTAACCAGAGCACTCATGCATAAAGAGTCATATGCAGATGCTTGCTTCAGAAGGTTGTTTAATTCCTGAATCTGTAAATAAAATTCAGTACTTTTTTCTAGATAAAAAGTATATTTACTCTTCACAATACAAAATATACAGTGAATCTATTTAATAACATCTGTTTACTGCAGGTCCAGGTCAAGAGCTCGTCCACGTTCTCATAGTCGAAGCAGTGAAAGGTCCAGCCATAGAAGAACCCGAAGTCGGTCTCGGGATAGAGAACGACGTAAAGGCAGAGATAAAGAGAAAAGAGAAAAGGAGAAGGATAAAGGCAAGGACAAGGAATTACACATCAAACGTGGGTAAGTTGAAGCAAATCTTTTTTTTTTTTCTTTTAAGATTTATTTGAAAGAACTACACACAGAGAGACGTCTTTCATCCACTGGTTCACTCTCCAAGCGGCTGCGATGGCCAAGACTGAACCAGGGTGATGCCAGCACCCCATATGGACAGCAGCATCCCATATGGGTACTGGTTCATGTCCCAGCTGCTCCAGTTCTGATCCAGCTCCCTGCCTATGGCCTGGGAAAAGCAGCAGCAGATGTCCCAAGTGTTTTGGTCCCTGCCACCCATGTGGAAGACCTGGAAGAAGCTCCTGGCTTTGGCTTGGCCCTGCCCTGACTTTGTGGCCATCTGGGGAGTGAACCAGTGGAGGGAAGATCTCTGTTTTTGGTCTCTCCCTCTCTCTCTATAACTCTTTCAAATAAATAAATAAATCTTAATAAAAAGAAATACAGTGTAAACAGCAACCTCAAAATTCAGTTTGCAAATAAAGGAAAGTTGATGTAATTCTTGGGAAAGTTCTATGTTCTTTTTTATTATGAATGTGAATTTAAAATTTCACAATTAATATTTAAAAGATATCTATTAGCTAGGCATCTTCACATGTTTAGTTCTATTTGGATGTTAAAACCCACTCATTTTATCAAATTAAAAGATGTTAAAATAAAATGATCTTGTTTAGCAGCTTAAATTTACAGCTTGTTTGTTTTATTCAAAATTGGCATTGGAGTCTTTTATCCTATAAAGTAGACATCTTGGAATTTATCTCCTTTTATCAGTTTACTTTTATTACATTTACTTAATGTACTTAATACTTAAATATAAAAACCTTACCTTTGATGTATCAGTTTTTGGTGTTAAATTGAAGAGCTTACCAGGATCTTGGATGTGGCTTTTTTGAGGTCTTGGTTTTATGAAGAATTAGTAAGTATATTAAATGACATGAACTCTTCCCTCATCCCTTTCTGTTTCACAGTTTTGTATGTGTTCATTTTCTTTTTCTGGATTTATAGTGATGGTATATAAACCTGCCTGCATAATTACTTTTTAGCATTTTTTGTTTTTGTTTTAAAAGGCAGAGAGAAAGAGCAAGAGAGCTCCTATGTGGTAGTTCACTCCCTAAATGCTGACAACAGCACTGGCTGTAGATGGAAGAAGGGAACTCAGTCCAGGTCTCCCATGTAGATGGCAGAAACCCAACTACTTGAGCCATCACTGCTGGCTCCTAGCAGGAGTTGGAGCAGGGAAAGCAAACCTTGTTACATAGATGTGAGACGTAGAAGTTACTAGGCCAAATGCCTTCCCCTGATAGGTTGTAAGTATTCTTTATATTTATTTATTTATTTAATTTATTTGAAAGAGTTACAGAGAGAGGTCGAGACAGAGAGAGGTCTTCCACCTGCTGGTTCACTCCCCAGATGGCTGCAATGGCCAGAGCTGTGCCAATCCAAAGCCAGGAGCCAGGAGCTTCTTCTGGGTCTCCCACATGGGTGCAGGGGCCCAAGGACTTGGGCAGTTTTCCACTACTATCCCAGGCCATAGCAGAGAACTGGATCGATCAGAAGAGGAGCAGCTGGGAACTCAAACTGGAACCCATAAGGAATGCTGGTGCTCCAGGCCAGGGCTGTAACCCACTGCACCACAGCACTGGCCCCTGTAAGTATTCTTATAAATGTTAAAAGTGATGAAGTTTGGAAAAGGATACAATTATTATGTGACTCTTTTTCTCCTGTTCACTGCACAACTGTTAATGCATGTTGAGCGGTTGTTTTCCTGCAAAATTCTGAGTTCTTTTTCTGATTTTAAGGATTGTTGAATGTTATAGGAGTGGAGATAAGGGTTGATATATGGCTGAAAGGGTAAGAGGTTGAATTAGCCAAAAATGGTAGAATAAATTGAGAATTAGTAAGGGTATGGGGAAAATCTCTTGATCAGTAGATAAAGTCAGTAGGTGGCACAATTTGGATTAGGAATTTAAAGAAGGGAATTGAGGAAATGCTTTATTTCTTCTTCTTTTTAAATTATTTTCTGGCCGGCGCTGCGGCTCACTAGGCTAATCCTCCGCCTGTGGTGCCAGCACCCCGGGTTCTGGTCCTGGTCAGGACGCCGGATTCTGTCGCGGTTGCTCCTCTTCCAGTCCAGCTCTCTGCTGTGGCCCGGGAAGGCAGTGGAGGATGGCCCAAGTGCTTGGGCCCTACACCCGCATGGGAGACCAGGAGGAAGCACCTGGCTCCTGGCTTCGGATGGGTGCAGCACTGGTGGTAGTGGCCATTCGGGGGGTGAACCAACGGAAAAGGAAGACTTTCTCTCTTACTGTCTAACTCTGCCTGTCAAAAAAATTTTTTTTTCTTCTTTTGGTTTAGTTTTTAGGTATTACATGATTATGGGAAGTATGACCATGATTTTTACTGGTTTTTGAGTTTTTACTTTCTACATCACCAAGTTTTACTTTTTAGTATAATGCTTACACAATTGCATAAAGTTGATTTATGTAAAACATTATTTGGAAGATTTTAATACTGGGTAAAATGAGAGCGTGAAGTAAAGAGGGAGATCAGATAGTTTCAAGAAAGGCTCTCATATATTGACATTAATCTTGAAGATCTAAGCCAGCTTCACTGATTAGATGCATCTGTTGCCTAGAATTGATTTTGAGCAACAGGAATGCTCCCTGGATGCCAGGTACACAGGAAATAATGTTTTGTTTGGTATTGTTTCTGAACACTAACTTCAAAATAGACAATGAGCAGTGTCAAAACCAGAGGTATCCATCAGGATGGGTACTGGGACTGATGCAGAAAAGGTGTGTATGGTCTGATTCCATCATTTCAATGATTTTTAAAGGACCAAAAATATAGGGAGTGTTATTTCCCCCTGGTTAGTTCTGAGTACACACGAATTCTTATGTTTTGATATGATCTAAAATTACACGTTAGTTTTTTTCTGATATGGTATATGCATTTACTGTAGTATATTTATGTGTATACAGATGCATGCTGCTTTGATTCATAAATAATTTTTTAAAAATTTAATTTATTAAACTATATTTACTAACACTCTTATATCTCTTAATATACCTAATGTAAAAGTTAGTTGTTAATAAATATTTATTATTTACCAATTATGAACAGTTCTTTTGCTCATTTGTCCTATCAACAGTACTTAAATGCCTTCTGTTTATTAGATGGCATATTAGGCAATAGGGACATAATGTTAGTGTGGGTATTACTTATAGTTTTCATGAAAATAGGAAAATAAGCATTCATAGAAGGGAAGATATGCAAATAAAAAAAGTGAAGTCAAATGAATGTTTACTGTAGGACAAGCAAAAGGAGTAATGAGAATATTCTATCAGGATGCTTTTGGTTGTAAACAAAACTTAAACCTAACTAACAATAGCTCAAGCCAGAGTTCAGAAAATCTTTTTGTAATGGGCTAGAGAGTAAATAATTAAGGCCTTCTGATTTATGTGGTCTGTGTTGCAACTACTGAATAATAGGCAGACTGTATTTCAATAAAATTTATTTACAAAGTTGGAAGTTGGCTGGAATTGGGCCCAAGCATTGTCATTTGTCAATGTCTGACTAAAATCATACATTTATTGTTAATGTGATGAGCAGTTTAGAGGTAAACAGTCCCAACCCCCTTTTTATCCTTTCAATATCATAGTCTCAGCATGTTGGCTTTTTATCTCCATTATTAACCTTTTGGTTCTAAGATATCTTTAGAACATTATTAAGCTGATTTATCAAGATTATTCTATGTGTCAGGGAAGGGTTTTCCAAAGAAGCAATGTTTAAATATTGAAGGAAGGAAGAACAAGAGGGAGGAATGTTCCGTGCAAAACAGACTTCATAAGGAAAGGCTTGGACTAGCAAAAGGAGTGTGACATTGAAGAATTGAAGTCTAATGGTTGGTTTAGAGTAGAAGAGGAATAGTGATGAGAGATGATTATGGGAGGACCTTGTGTTGATAAGATTGAAGTTAATTTTAACGGCAGTGGGAAGCCAGTGAAAAGTTTTTAGTAGAGAAATGATATAATCAGGACAAAGGAATGGACAAGATGCTTTCTTTACTCAACGATGGTAATGATGATGGTAAGCACTAATACTTAAAATATATTTCCTCACTATCAGGAATTTTGCTGAGCAGTTTAGGCATATTATTTCATTTAACATCCTTTTGAAATTCATATTTTTATTATCTCATTTACATAAGTGAAGCTGCCTAGGCTTGTTGATCATAGAGCTAACAAATGGTTGAGTTTGGCTTCTAATTCAGGTTGACAACAACACCTTGACTCAATATCGTCACTTATTTAGTGATCTTTAACATTGATGATTAGAGCAAGAGTTTGAGGCCAAAGTGATATGCTGTTGTTTAAGCTTTCCTAGAAAATAGTTGAAGAGAACCAAAAGAATTTTTGGTATCTTATCTTTCTCTGATCAGTTCAGCAGTCTGTCATTAGTAAAAAATTGATTCTTTCCTTTCTACTTCTCTCTTCCATTTTTACTTTCTCATCTCAGCGTTTCATCTGTTTATTTAACATTGTATTTAATTATACTCACAGCAGTTCCTAGGATTTTTTTTTGACAGGCAGAGTGGACAGTGAGAGATAGAGAGAAAGGTCTTCCTTTTCCGTTGGTTCAACCCCAATGGCTGCCCTGGGTGGTGCACTGCGGCCAGCGCACCGCGCTGATCCAAAGCCAGGAGCCAGGTGCTTCTCTTGGTCTCCCGTGCGAGTGCAGGGCCCAAGTACTTGGACCATCCTCCACTGCACTCCCGGGCCATAGCAGAGAGCTGGACAGGAAGATGAGCAACTGGGACAGAATCTAGCACCCCAACTGGGACTAGAACCCGGTATGCCGGCGCCGCAGGTGGAGGATTAGCCTATTGAGCCGCGGCGCCAGCCATTACCTAGGATTTAATTAAATTTATTTTAGTGGTAGTTTCATTGACCATCTCTATCTAGATTGCTTCAAAAATACATGGGTGGGGGCTGGTGCTGCAGTGTAGGGGG